TATAACGGCTTCACATTCTCAATTATTATGATATTGGCTGCATAATAAGTCTTTTCTACAGCAGCGTTCAATATTTGTCTAGTTGTCAAGCTGTTATGATCACCCATATACGATAGCATGATGCACACGTCTTTGTTGGCGGCGAGTTGGAGAATGGGTCTTGGTGTTCTGACTACTTTATACATCCTGTTGAACAATTCAGACAACTTATGTCTTCTTATTGCTTTGTCTAAATTCAGAAACGGAACTAATTGTTTGAAATAATAATAGTAATAATATCATCTTTTAGGATGAAAAAGAAAGATTGAACAGAATATTTTTGCTACTTATGACATTCGAAAATTGTTCTTTAGTAAATATTTTCTCTTTTCTCTATTTAATAACAAAACTTTCTCGTACTCTTTATTGAATAACAATATAGCGTGGTAGAAATAAATTTACTTTGAAAAGTAGTTTCTAACGCTAATTATGTCTGTTTACTTGTGCATAACTTTTCATGGCTAAATAGAATGTTTTTGTTCTAGTCACTTGTATAAAAATATTGTTATTCTGACGACAGCCTGTAAATGAAACAAACTGCTGATTGATTAAAGCTTCTTTTTACACTCATTCATATAAGTATAGATAGTCGGAAGACGAAGTGTAATTTATCTCAGCGTCAGATGTATATTTTTTATTAGAATTTAGATGTATTCCACGAATTCACTTCTTGAAACCACCTTATAGATGGCTAGGTTAGGACTCTCGCCGACCGTGCATATGATCCGGGGGTCGATCCTCGGCGAAATACAAGAATAGAGTCCCAGGATTCTAAATGTCCCAATGACCTTGTGAATGTTCCAATGACCCTGAACGCATGCTAGTCATTGGTTGAGGAAGCTTGCAATTATTTTAGCGCTAAAATGAACTCTGTTCATGAGCTCAGATGCAAATTCCATCCAGATCACGTTTTCCAGTGCTGCCTAGATAATGGATTGATAGGACGTACTTGGATATGCGGTTATGGTGCTTCCATGAACCTCCAGTCGTATAACCAGGTCACTGATGGATATGTATTCAGATGTACACAGTGTAGGAAGCGAATAAGTGTGCGTACTGGTAGGCGACACTCTGAATTAATTGTCTTCTAGGAACTTTCTTTGAAAAGTCGAAACTGTCTTTGACCAATATCTTGTTTCTGTCCAATTACTGGGTTTTAAAGTCCGGGGTGCGATCTACTGCGGCTCAAACAGCTAATACGTTGACGTCTACTGAAACCCCTCTACAAAATTGGGAGATTTTTTTGTCTCATATTAGAGGAAAATATCTTGTTTAATGTTTTTTATGCTTTTTTAATGTAAATATACACAAAATTTTATGCAAAAATCGTCATTTTTCCTGATTGGTCGGCTCAAGGTCACTCGTGTGGTCGCACCCCTTGAGACTCTATTGTAGAACTTTGCCCAATCCTCTGCCAAAGCACACCTGATATCAATGGCCGGTCTGCAAAATTTGGGCTACCGATATCACATGCTGAAAATTCCATAATTGTACCAAGAATATGGTGTGGAATCAAGCTATAATCAAAATAAAATAAAAAAATAAAAAAGTTTTTGCTTATAAAATACTGTAGACAATATAAGCCTGGATGACGATTTATAAACGTCCTTCTTATATACATTTGTAAACCTTACTGCTTATTTTAATTTTACAAATCTGTTTGGCTACTTCTAGAAATAGGACAAGAATAACAGTGAACTTAGGAGTTCCTTAATTTGTACTGACTTGAGAAAGGGATAATGCGGATTAAAATGCTAAAATTGCATAAATGTGGTTGAAAAGCTTGAATAGAGGATGATATCGGTCAGTGGCATAGTGGTTAGGACGCTCGCCGACCATGCACATAGTCTGGGGTTCGATCACCGGCCGACGCACTCCTTTACCTCTCTAAGCCAGAAATAATGCTGGTGAAGAGGGAAGGTTGGGCATGAGGCTAGCAGCCCCATCCTGTAAAGTAAACACTGCTACAGAAACTTCAAGCCACTAGCTTGAAGCACTATGTTCCACTGGGGAACGTGAAGGAAAAAAATCGGTCTATATAACTTTTCAAATATGTTATAATAATGGATTGCAACAGGCCATTTTATTGATTCAGCTATATGACAAGTTCAAGTGCGAAGTAAACCACAACAGAGAACGCAGTCAGGCCTCTGAAGTGAAGACAGAAGTAAGACAAGACTGCTTATTATAACCCACGATTGTATACCTAACTTCGGTAAACTGGATTATGCTTCATAATATGGGGAGCAATAAAATAGGTTAAGAAAATTCTAGAAGATCTCCACTTAGTAGACAATTTATGTCTGGTGTCACACAAACACAAGGACCTACAAGTGAAAAAGTAGGGAGAAGAAGCAGCGAGGACGGGACTTCAAGTGAACGTACAGAAAGTGGAGGTGATGAGTATAATCTATCAACAACAACAACAACAACAAACACCGATCACTGTCAACCGAACAAATTTGAAATACCTCAGTTCTTTCACTTATCTAGTTAGCATCGTTTTGGTTACAAGTGGCCGGCACAGATGAGGACGTTAAAGCTGCCAAGCATTGGAAAGGCAAGACACACATTCATCTCTCTAAAATCAGTTTGGAAATCTTCTGAACTTAGCAAAAACAACAGAATTTCGGATTTCCAATACCACTGTTAAGCCAGTCAGCTCTTCTATATGGGTCAGAAACTTGGAGAACGCGTTGCAAATAGCGTTTCCAACAGACTATTTCAGCCTTTTATCAACAGCTGCCATCACTGGTGCCATATTGAAGTTGAGACGTCTGGTAGGGAAGAATTAACAACAAGGAACTCTGGAAATGAACCAATCGACAGCCTACTGACCAAAAACTATGACTTAGGAAATAAAGATGGATCGGACACACACTGAAGAGACCGTCGAGCGCTATGGTACCCTAGGCCATGGCTTGAGAGGACCCCGAATGGAAACGGACGAATTGGGCTTTGCATCAAAGGTAACGTGGAGGAGATGAAAGCTTATGGGCAATCGTGGAGAAAAGTAAAGGCGACTGCCGAGAATAGGATGAAATGGAGATCTTCCGTTGAAACCCTATGATCCACTCGGAACCCGTGGTAATAATAATGACAATAATATTAGTAATTTATGCGTAAATCAATCAATTTCCATTAGACCATCTAAGTAGATAGAACTGCTGGTCACTTGTAAGGATTTGTTACCACAGTATCGCTGAAACATTAATTCAGAAGAGAATTGAAAGCTAAAACAAACGTTTCAATGGAATGAACTGTGGAATAAGTTTCACGTGTACTTTACTGAAGCATTCTATGAACAGAATTCATAACAAGGTTTGACAGATACCGTAAAAATTCAGTCTGCTTGATGGTATCCTCTTTTGAAAAACAAAAAGAAAGTGAACTGGATCCTGTTGTATTTTACTTCAGCGTAAATTGTGGCACTCTTAATATGATGAAAATGAAACATGAAGACACCATATCAACAACAGATCAAGCATTTGCAGCTTTATATACGACTGAATAGTTTCAAAACAGAATTTTGCAAAGAATTGCAGCAGTTCGAGTTGCTACGCTCCTTGGAACACACAAAGCTAGACAAAAGAGAGAGATAAAAAAGGAGATTCGAAGGAACCATAATAAGAAAGGATATCAACGTAGAAAATCATGGAGGTCTAACGGATATGGAAGACTACAAAAGGAGAATGATACATCTGCATCACTGAGAAAAACTTTGATTTATATCAATAACTGTCTCCGAGGAACCCATTCAGGTAGTCTGAACCATCCTACGTGGTTCAAACTAATTTTCAAAGATTTCATGGACTGGTTTCAAGTTTCGGTTTGACCATCCCTAACACTTTTCCAATCTGATCTAATGTCAGCAAACACCGCCCATTGTCTAGGAAGGCAGTCGTTGATCATGCGTAACACACGTAATAGTCATATCAGTCAATGGGGCTTCACAACCTCATCGATTGACTTCCTCTCCTTATCTAACACTCAACACCTAACCTCAGTATTAGCCACATCATCATAGAACCCAAACACCTGTGATAAGGTAGAGATAACCTTTTTATGTCTTCCACTTTCAATGGCCATGCCTTACAGCCATAAACGGAAAGAGAGTGAAATGTTGAGCAGTACACAAGTCCATTAATCAATAGCAGGTAGCATGTCTATCCCAGAGATAACGTAAGTTAGTAAATGTCACAGGAGACTTTTGTATCCATTTTGACATTTCGTCAGCAGTAAGCCCATTGGGTTTGATGAAACTTCTTATATGTGTGAGGTGGTCAACACTCTCTACCAGTATCTCCTATTTAGCTAGTTATGTAGTCCATTCCTGTAGCCTGATCATCTTATATTTGTCGGAAGCAAATCGCATGCCTAACATTCGAAGATTGCTACCCGAGGTGTTCAGAAGACTCTGCACTATATCAGCATCTTAACCTAGGAGGACTATATCATCCCCTAAGTCTGTGAAGTCAGTTAGGATGAATTCGATTAGTACACCTACGGTGAAATTAAGGAGAATTAGGTCAGTGGGCATCTCTGATGGACACCACTGGTTGTCCGTCATAAAATTAATATGACTACTTATGACAGATTGCTTAAAATACTTGCATCATTATTATTAATTTCTTGGGTTCTAAGTGGAAAATAAGGCTTCAACGAGAATATTTCCATTACATCCTTTACTCTGCAGTTGACTTTAGATGCCCCCAAGCTTGCCTATAAGCTTCGATCTCCTCTCCATGTCACCTTTCAACTCCAAACTTGTCGTTCCTCACTTAAGCTCCAACCGAGGTTATGCCTGGCATGCGATGTCACCACCTGCCATTCTGATCAGTATGTGTCCGACCCATTTAAGTTTTCTTCGGCATATTTGTTGGGTGATACGTTCTTAGTTAATTTAAAGTATTTCTATGATACTGTCCGTATTTTTTAATTATTTTTTTTACTCCTACAAGAATAACAATGGCAGTTTATCATAAACCTCCGCCACGTAAATCTACACGTAGCCTACAGCTAATTGAGCGTATGCGAAAGTCAATTGGACCACGTTTTTATCCTGGTTCTGAAGATCCTAGCCATTCAGATGAATCATTCACCCTGGATGATTCTAGTGATGATGAAGATATTTCACAGCAAAGCACTGATATCATTGATAGGATAATAGAATTCCCATTGGATACAATGCCAATCGGTATACGGAAAAAACAAACAGAAAAGGCAGAAAGTAAAAAAATTCTTGGATTCGGTATGAAATCATCACGTTTCCCTAAAGCATCAAGTAATTTGGTAAGATTAAATGAATAATTTTATCCACTGATTTGTGTTTTCTGTCTTTATTTTTATTGAATTAATTGTTGTTATAAAAACAAAATCCCATAGAGAATTACAAACATTTCTACTTACTACTAAAGTGTCAGTGTTTGTAGGGAATATCACTGATTTCAAGCCTTATCACACGGATTCCTGTATCAATGAGGGAATTACTGAAAATCACGGAGGAGTACAGGATAACTGTTTCGTTTGCAGTTCGGGACTCTTCAGCAGTACGTAACCATTTGCCTCCTGGGGATTGACAGAAATTAGAATTGATGGCTTGCCATTGGCGGCTGGCTTAAAATTTGCGCCACTGTTTATTGAATACAATTTTTCTTACAGGATTTTCATCATGAGCTGACATTAGTTAGAGAACCACTGGAAAACCTGGGAGTACTGGACAGCTGTTTCGTCAGCCTAGTTTGGGACTCTTCATCAGTACGCACCCACCGGGATTCGAACTCACTAGTGACTTGCCCTATTCAGGTAGGTAGTTACCTGGGGTTCTAGTGAGAAGTCGTGACCAGTAGGGTGCAGCAGGTCGGGTGTGAGGACAAATACTCGCCGAAGACATTGGCTAAGGGTCGCGCTATGTCGTGAATTGGCAGAAGTTAGAATTCATGGACCATTGGATCGGGTCCCAGTGGCTTAATGGTATACGAGCTCGCCTTGTAACCAGAAGGTCCTGGGTTCGAACCCTTGCGGTGGGTGCATACTGATGAAGAGTCCCAAACTAGGACGAAACAGCTGTCCAGTACTCCCAGGTTTTCCAATGGTTCTTTAACCGATGTTAGCTCATGATGAAAATCCTGTAACCAATCAAATCCCTACAAACCAACACTTGAATAATTTTTCTTGTTCATATTATCTACCCTGGCGAGTATTTCAAATGTTTCACCAGTTTCTTCTACTAAACTTGAGAAAAAGCCTGTGCTTGGGTGGCAACGTATCCCAATACATGAGATATCTTTTCCTGAGTTGTGTCCTTGATTCTCAAAATGTATTCCAGAAGTTTTAATAATAATAATAATCGATATTCATTCAAATGTCGTGCATTTATCGAAGGAGATAAAGAAAAGATATCATCATAAGGGATTGGTTTATGCTTCAGTTCAGATAGCACTGTGGCATACGATCTATTGTTTTATTTAAGGATCCTGGACGAAAAGAAAATAGCATGCAATCAATTCTGCTGAAAATTCCGTACATTATGTAAACAGTGTTTAGAATACAGCTTTTGTTAATTAATTATTGTTGCATCTCAGGGGTTGAATGGTCAACGAGCTTGCCTTCTAACCTGAAAGTCATAGGTTCCACCTCCGGCGGTGTCCTGTGTGTGTGTGTACTACTCAGTAGTCTCAGACTAGGACAAAACAACTGTCCACTACTCCTTGATGGTTTTCAATGGTTCTCTAACTGATGGCAATCCATTAGCAAACTTGAAACTTATTTAATATAGAAACAATTATAAACTCAAATGTCTTGTTGAGCTTTTGCAGTCACCTCATAAAGCATTCTTTAAAGTTTGACCACCGATTGACATCAGTTACAGAACCCCTGAAAACCAGGGGGTACTGGACGGCTGTTTCGTCCTGGTTTGGGACTCATTAGCAGTACAAATCCACCGGGGTTCGTATCTAGGATCTTCCAGTTACAAGGCAAGCTTGTAGCTGATTTAGCCACTGGAACCCGACTCAGTCATCCACGAATTCTAAATCCTAGTAGTTCATGGTCTTTAGCGTAACCACCAAATAATGTTCTCATTCCGGACTGGATGGACCATATTGGTCACGACTTCTCACCCGAACTGCAGGTGACTTTATCTTGTACCTAGTCACTGGCAAGTATCAGCATTATTTTCAATAGTTAGTCTGTAAGGATAAGGACCATGGAAAACGGGGGAATACTTGATAGTACTGGGCACAGAGTTCGAAACTAGGATGAAACAGCTGCCTAATAATCAAAGCTGGTTTTCCAATGGTTTTCTAACTGATATCAATGCATCGTCAAACTTGAAACCAGTAAACTCCCTACAAACTTACTGTCGAAAATCATCAAGTATTATTTAAATAAGTGTAATGCAACTGCAAATAAGGATTTTCTGTTGATATTGAAACTACTAAGTGCCTGAATGTATAACTTTACTGTTAATACTTGTTAACCTAACCTGGCTGCTATATTACCAAGCACATTTTCATTGTACTAATGAGTGAATGACTGATCGACGTGTCAATGTAAAGACTTCTCCCAAAGTGCCTCACTTCACGTTAATATGCTTCGTCAGAGAAGTACATTTAAAATAGCAGGGAGAAGTGTAATGCGATTTCAGTGGATGAAAAATTTTAGAAAGAAGGAACTATTACGTAAAGTGCACGGATGATTTTCAGATAATGATGATGTCGGCAAATAATTTTCTAACCCATGTTGAGATCCTATCAGTATGCAGTCTGATAGAACTACTTGAAGTGAAGTGAAGGGGTCGACAGATTCAGCGATTTCACTACCTGTTAATTAAACTAGAGGTCCGTGCTGATCATTTTTGCAGCATCATCTTATATTCAACAAGAGCAAGTCGTATGCAAGACATACAGTAATTTTTGATGTGGTTGTGTTCCCTGAGCTGGATAGTCAATTTGTGAAGCTTTCATCGCTCTACTAGATGACATCTTCAGCGTTTACTTCAATTTATTGAAGAGAGCTTTTAGATTTCTTCACGAGTTTATTAATCATTTCTCCTGGTGGGCGACCTTGACCATGACTCTTTGGTTGTTTTTGTGTGTTTTCACACCCTCTAGGCTACTTGTATTGGAGCTGATTGTTTCTTTGACTTGAACTTTGACCCTCTGTTTGTGAGGTTTCTTTCTTATCGGTTGGTATATTTTGTCTATTTCGATGTGTCTATTGATTGATGATTCACTGGAATACCAGGCAGCCTTCTAAAAATTCTCTAACATTCTTGGTTTTTCCTCTGTCTAATATTTGAGCGTTGTCCCAGTCAAATCGATGTCGGTGGTTAAGACTCAACAATGAAAGAAGATAAAACAAACGTCATCTACTAAATAAATTGTAACAACTGCGAAAAACACTACATTAGCCAAAGTGGACGTCCCCTTCGTCTTCGTATCCATGACCATAAACTAGTCGTCAAAAGACATGAAATCCACTCCCTCATATCACTACACACAGACAACCACGGACATCAGTTCGACTAAGACAACGTTCAAAAACTAGACAGAGGAAAAACCAAGAATGTTAGAGAATTTTTAGAAGGCTGCCTGGTATTCCAGTGAATCATCAATCAATGGACACATCGAAATAGACAAAATATACCAACCGATAAGAAAGAAACCTCACAAACAGAGGGTCAAAGTTCAAGTCAAAGAAACAATCAGCTCCAATACAAGTAGCCTAGAGGGTGTGAAAACACACAAAAACAACCAAAGAGTCATGGTTAAGGTCGCCCACCAGGAAAAATGATTAATAAATTCGTGGAGAAATCTAAAAGCTCACTTCAATAAATTGAAGTAAACGCTGAAGATGTCGTCTAGTAGAGCGATGAAAGCTTCACAAATTGACTATCCAGCTCAGAGAACACAAACATATCAAAGTCAAACATCTGAGCTACAAGTTTTTTATTTATTTTGCCCGGAGACTGTGTTCCATCAACGTCTATGCGAAAAAAGACTCTAGATCAACAAGAACGTTTCCTGGTAACAAATGAATTAATGAGACACTAAAGTCAATTGAAGTCGAATACGTGTGTTGACGTTGAGTACTCTTCAGGGATTCTGGTTGTCTATCCTTCATATAACAACCCTCCATTAGCTCTTACGTGTCTCCATGGGTTCAAATGAAGTGTCTCGATTAATAGAGTATATTTTCTCAGCATTCTATTTACAGTCAGATACTGCCACAACACCAGAATCACATAATGCCTTCATATTGAGAAATATGGCAAGTATTAGCATACAGCAAGCATAGCTACTTACTAGAGCATGCTAAAGAATGAAGACGTGATCACTGTATTATCCTTTGGACAGTGATCTACCTGGATTTACCGGATTTGTTTTTTTCGAAACTGTTTTATTCAAGCTGATCTCTCTGTGATTATCACATGCAGATTCGTTTTCTTCTTTATATATAATCTGGGATGGCCAACATTGTGTACCTAGACAACGGTACTATCTGGGGTTCTCATACATCAGTTAATATCTTAGTTAATCTAGTCAATAACTCATCGCTACCATTCTTTAATAATATTGGAGTCACACTATCACGTCCTGTTACTTCGCGGCCTTTTAGATTGAAAACAGAATTTGAAAAATTGTATGCGATTGAAGGACTAATGTTTACATTATATTTTGGCAGGGGTTAAGTGGTAAGCAGCTGTAGTATAGCTGTATTCAAGTTTAACAACTCCTCAAAATGCTGTATTCATCTCTTCTGAGAGGTTATTTAATTTCTACCATGTTTATACTAAGTTAGGACAAATGATCACCTTTCATAGAATAGACGTAACTATTTGTTCTTCTTCTGCTTACGCCATTACTGCAAAGGGTTTGGAAAGAAGGAAAGGCACCTACAGATTGGAAGAAAGGCTACCTCGTCAAGCTACCAAAGAGGGGTGACTTAGGCCTCACTCTTCAAGAACTGTCGTGAAGTCATGCTCATGTCCACGCTAAGTAAAACACTGAGGCGCATCATCCTGGAGAGAATAAAGGATGAAAGGGATGCAGAACTCCACCCACTCCATGAAACAAGCTGAATTCAGGAAAGGCAAATAATGTGCTGATCAAATTGCAACTCCACACATCGTCATCACAGAACAAAGCATAGAATGGCAGTCAAATCTCACTCTACATTAACTTCGTCGACTTTAAAAAGGCCTTCGACAGACAGCGTTGATCGAGAAGTAGTTTGAGAACTGCTTCAACACTATGGCATGCAACGCTTAAGTCTTTCTCGACCTCATTCAACAGCTGGCTGTATGAGAATGCCTGGGCAGTGTCAGGTGATCCACAATGGAACACTCAGTGAGGCATTCGAAGTGAATACAGGAGTAAGACGAGGCGGGCTGGCAGTCTGCCTATTATCACCCACGATAATATCCTTATTGTGGTGGACCGGATTATGCGTCAGACTGTGCGCAGGGAATGAGAAGACAGGAATATGTTGGACTGACCGATAAGAAGACTCTGGAAAATGTGTATTTCGCAGATTATATATGTCTTATGTCACACAAACTCGAAGACTTACAGGCAGGCGAAAACTTACAAACCGGGAGAAGAGACTGGCAGCCGGCGAAGACAGGACTGCAGGTGAACTTAGAGAAGAAGGAGGTGATGAAGATAACCAACTAACATCAGCAACATCAACAACCAGCACCAATCACCATCAAATGGAGAGATTTAACAGAGGTTACCCGCTTCACTTGTCTAGGAAACATTGTTTCAACTACAGGCAGTCGGCACGTATGAAAATGTCAACACCAGCCAGCCAGCTAGTCAGAATCGGAAAAGCAAGATACGCCTTCATCAACCTGAAACCAGTTTGGAAACCTTCTGCCCTCAACATGAGGAACAAGATTCGCGTTTTCAACACCAATGTCAAGTCGGTCCTTCTATATGGGTCAGAAACTTGCACTACGTGTGTATCACGAAAAGGATTTCCAACAGGATAGTGCAGACCCTCATCGACAGCTGCCAACCTTCGCTGGCTTCATACCGAAAATCATATGGCCAGAAAGAATTAGTTGCAAGAAACTCGACTCTGGCTGGTCACAAACCAACTAATAGTCGATTTCTCAACAATTATATAGAAGAAAGTGGAGATAGATGTGTCGGGCACACACTAAGACATTGTGAGCTATGCAGGTCATCGCTCGAATGGAATCCATATAGGATGCGACGAGTGGGTCGTCGGTGCGAGGGTGACATGGAGGAGATCATGTGGGGAGGAGCAGATGAGAAAGTTTGGGTAGTCGTGGGTCTAGCTAGCTGAAGAGGAAGGCAGAAAATAAATCAAAGTTGAGGTGTATTGTTGAAGCCCTATGTTCCACTCGGAACCCAAGGGAACCATAAATAAATGAAAATTTGTTATTCTTCAAGGAAGAATCAGCAGTAAGCTGATAGCTAACAGGAAGGCGAATAGGGTCATGCTGTTTGTTCCCAAGCGTTGATCTAATTCTCTCCGTTAATTTGACAAAAGTAGGATACTTTACATCAAAGTGCACCTAATTTGAATATGATTACTTGAAATTTTCTTGAGCTTATGGATAGTCCTTTTATGAAATCATGAAGAGATGGATGTACTCTAGATTTTTGCACTTCTCCAGTCACTTGACATTATTAAATTAGACTATTACTTATAGTAGTTTCAAGTTATTTTCTCTAGCTTAATTGTATTATTTCCAGTCTAGTCTCCGTAATTTCACCAGTAATCTGAACTAACAGTGTTTATTAAATACAACAACTGGCCTCATGCTTAAATTCCAGTCAGTTAGTTAAAATCCCCTTGTGTTATGCTTTCGAAAACGCCAGCCACTGTAAATACTCTTGTATAAAATGTAAATAAAAGAATCTAAACTGGATGTTCACTGGCCTGAATCGTCAAGATATTATCCTTCTGAATATCGCGGAATCCTCCTCACAGAAATGGAAATCCTCCTATAACTAGAAATCATGACTTTGTTCTTAGAGAGAGTTTATGAATATTAGGACGATTTTATTCAACGTATTATTACTACAAATGATTAAGGCATTCAAAACAGCTTACATCTATTTGCGGGTTTAAAGAAAGCACCCAGACATTTTACAAATATCAAACAGAAATACTTGTTATGCAAATATTAGAATATTTATTCCAGTATATTTAAAATTTTACGAGTTTCCAGTCCGTAGATGTTACGAATTTCCTGGAATAATTTAAGCACCAAGTCAGATTGAATCATTATAAATTATTTGGAAAAATCTTAGCGTGTTTAAGAAAAAGTCCCAAAACAAGGCGTGTTTTTTGAACGTTTCACTGTGTAAGCCACAGCTACTTCTTCAGCAGAATTATTCGGATTTTATTGAACATAAAAATATCTAGCCAATTTATGTAAAATTTTTTGACTATTTATTTTGATGATTAATGAAATCCGAATAATTCTTCTGAAGAAGCAGCTGTGGCTTACACAGTGAAACGTTCAGAAAACAGATCATGTTTTGATATTCTTTTTTTTCTTAAACACACTGGGATTATTTTAAATTAGTTATAATATTTAGGATTTTATTTAATAATATACTTCTAACATCAATAATTTCTACTTTCAGACAATAACACCAGCACCTGGCACCTATGAAAAGTATCAGGAGTACAATGTGAAACCAAAATTACCGATATGTCAGCAACCTTTTACGAAAGCCCCAAATGTAAATCGTCATTTTCGTGCAGATGTAAGTTGGCACAATTATTTTCTTTTCAGGGTCAAAGTTTTGATTGAAAATCTCAGTGTCGAGCAAAGCATCTATCTATGTCTCTATCTATCTATCTATCTATCTATCTATCTATCTATCTATCTATCTATCTATCTATCTATCTATCTATCTATCTATCTATCTATCTATCTATCTATCTATCTATCTATCTATCTATCTATCTATCTATCTATCTATCTATCTATCTATCTATCTATCTATCTATCTATCTATCTATCTATCTATCTATCTATCTATCTATCTATGTCTCTATCTATCTATCTATCTATCTATCTATCTATCTATCTATCTATCTATCTATCTATCTATCTATCTATCTATCTATCTATCTATCTATCTATCTATCTATCTATCTATCTATCTATCTATCTATCTATCTATCTATCTATCTATCTATCTATCTATCTATCTATCTATCTATCTATCTATCTATCTATCTATCTATCTATCTATCTATCTATCTATCTATCTATCTATCTATCTATCTATCTATCTATCTATCTATCTATCTATCTATCTATCTATCTATCTATCTATCTATCTATCTATCTATCTATCTATCTATCTATCTATCTATCTATCTATCTATCTATCTATCTATCTATCTATCTGTCTATCTATCTATCTATCTATCTATCTATCCATCTATCTATCTATCTATCTATCTGTCTATCTATCTATCTATCTATCTATCTATCTATCTCTTTATGTATATATATATAATAGTTTGGAACTCTTCATCCATGTGCACCCGTGCTCACACCAAGAATCGAACCAACGACATCCATCAGGTTACGAGGACATGACGTCGATTACTTATGAAAAGTCCCAGACTAGTATGGCACAGATTTCCAGGGCTTTTCAGTGATGATACCCTAAATGATATTGTTTCATGAAAAAAGTCTGCATTAGAACTTTTTATTCAGTGAACGCCCAATCTACACAAACAACAGACTGAGATGAAAGAATTTATATATATTAATAAACTATGAGAAGATGGTAACAGTTGAACGGTTCTCCCTTCCAATGCATCAAATTTACTGTGATTAAGGTTGTAGCGACTGCATTTATTCATTTATGGTTTGAATAAAACAGACTGATCTCTGCGTTCTACTGTATAGCTGTAAGTAATAACTTCACTGAGACATGCACTATCACAAAATGTTCCAAACGCAGGGAGAACATGATTATTCTCTCATACTTTAGCGGTTCTTTTACACAATATTAACATCAAACTCAAAAATTGCTGTAAGACAAAATTAGTTAACCGAAGAAGTTCAACTGTAAATGACAGCTTAGAATTAAAGGGGAATATTCCCAACGAGGTAGGATCAAGCACTCTGTCCTCCAGAATCATACATCAAGGCTTCCTGAGAACAGTTCCAGGGTCAGAATAACCTTCATTCAGTCAAATTCATATTTTTTTAAACAACACATTGTCAATACATATACAAGAACAAATATTTCAAAAGAATAGACACGGACCAAAGAGTACTCTTTTCGATAACTTCATCACCAGGTTCTACAATTATATTTACATTATAATGAATGAATGAATTGGTCTTATGAACGACATTAATGCCGTTGTTTAAATAACATCGAATCAATAATATTGATAAATTACAGCTGAACAGCATCAACATAAAATAAACTGAATGTCAAAAGAATTAGGAAAGGTAATAGTACAAATTCATGAGTTTATAGTCTCTTCTGAGGGCCAGGGCAGTAGTAGGGGCTGGACTTGTTTCTTTTGGACACAGAGCACTGGTTGTTTGAGGTGAACTGCAATAGCCCCTGCTGTTTGGAGCAAGCGGTGCTTCGACGATTTTGGTAGTTTGTTAGGCACCCGGTATATTATGGAGAAGGATTCGTCTACGCTGGCTTTGTGACGGTTTGCACCAGATGGTCTAATATCAAACTGTTAATGGTTTTAACTACACCTTTACTTAGCCATAGTGGGAGATGTTCCCGAGAGAGCACGTAAAATCAAGTTCCTAGAGCAACGTCCAACAAATATGTATTACAATTATAGATTAAATAAGGAGAAAGGTATATAATAAAGGTCAAAAATCAACATGTGATATGCAAATGTCAAATTAATGACATACAGTCTAGGAAAAACAACTAGACTAATTACAAATTTTAGTTGAAATGTCTAAATAAGCATAAGTATTACGAGGAATTTTCTTCAATAAACTGTCTATTAAAAAGGTATTATTGTTAAAGATCGGTTGGTCGGTCGGTTTTCGACATAGAACTTTGCACATATGTGCGGCAGTTCAAGTCGCCACACTCCCTCCTTGTAGCACACAAAGCAAGAGAAGAAAGTAGGAGAAATGCATAATAATATAGACAGTAAACAGAGGTGTGAGACTAAGGAATAGTAATAACGAAGAACAAAACAGTTTAATTGGAAATCATGAGTCACAAGGAGTGGATGCATCTGCGCCACTGAGAAGGATTTTGAGCCATGTCACCAATTGTCTCCAACCATTGGATTTTACCGTCCCGAGGACCCGAACCAGTCAGGAAGTCTACACCTTCCTACGTGGCTTAGACTAACTGTTGCGGATTTCATTGATTGGTGCCATGTTTTTGTTTGACGGCCGTTGGCTAGCTCTTTTCCAGCCTGACCCTATATCAGCTAACATTGCCCATTGTCGAGGAAGGCGATGACTAGACATACGTAGCACATGTCCTAACCATCTCAGTCGATGTAATTTCACAGTCTCGTCGACTGATTTCCCCTCCTTATCTAGCACTCATTCCATTGATGCCTAACCTCAATATTGCTCACCCTATTATACCATTTCACACAGGAGAGAGAACGCAGACAACTGTGATCGAAGACAGCTAATCTTTTCATGTCTTCTGCTCTCAATGGCCAGGTCTCACAGCCATGAAGGGGGACGGAGCGGACTGTTGAGCAGTACACACGCCCTTTGGTCGATAGTCGGGTGTCACGTCTACGCCAGAGACGGCGTAAACTGGCATATGCGAACCTAGCCCTCTGTATTCGTGCTGAGATTTCGTCGGAGATCAACCCGTTGGCACTGGCTGATGGTACTTCCCAAGTAAGTGAAGTGGTCAACGTGCTCTACCACTTCACTTCCTATTTCTAATCTAAGGGTCGGTGAAGTCCAATCCTGCAGCATCATCTTACATTTTACAGGGGCGAATCGCATGCCAAACATACGAAGATTGTTGCTCAAGGTGTTCAGTAGACTCTGCATTTTGTCAGCGTCCTCACCTAGAAGGACTATATCGTCCGCATATTCTTAGTCGACGAGATTATTCCCTGGAAGCAAGTCAATCCCTGAGTCGCTGAAGTGTGTTAGGGTTAAGTCCATTAGTACGTCTATGATGAATTTGAATAGGAATGGGGATGATGGGCATCCTTGACAAAGATGCTGAATTACAAGGTTTATCAAGAAGAAATCACTGACGGTAAACTGTGTCTCCAATTTTATTCCTCCTCTTAATTACATCTTAATTTCTGTTATGCTGGCACAAAAAGAAACTGCTAGTTTTTTCTCGAGAATCTGAAGCAATTTATAGAAATTATCTTGAAATAGATCACTATTTTATCTATATAACACAGTGTTTAGAATTAATCCTCAACTTTTGATTGTTTTGTGTATGTTTCTCCATCGTGAAAGTAGAGGATTGGTCTGTTAGAAGGCAAGCTATATATATATATATAATTGCTTCACTGACACCATATATCTCACTGGAAGAAATTGACTTGCGACTGGAATGTACATTATCTATGCTAAAGTAACACCCGATAGTTAGACATCGGCGGGCTGAAGACTTCCTTACAAATTTGCAGAAGGGAGGAAGGAGATGGATTGGACATACACTCAGAAGACATTGGACCGACATCACAGACCAGAATGTCGAGTTGAAACCGAGTACAGAACAACAGGTTGGGTATCCGAATTTGATATGGAGGAGATCATTAGATGGGGAAGAGGGAAAATGAAATACTGTGAGAAGTAGCAGTGCAGATTCACAATAATGGTCTGGCAGACGAAAACAAGACTTGGTAACGAACGTTTTTGTTAAGGAAAACCCACCAATATTCGCATATTTCTAGCTACATTAAAGGTCAGTTAGGTCAGTGCATTGGTTATCCAAACACTAAACCTTGAGGCAAAAAGTTTTTCAGAGAGACTATTCCCTGACCACAACGTAAGCTAAATCCAGATTTAAGGGATGAATACTTCTACTTATGAAGACATTAACTTAAAATGTTGTTTTCAATTTTGGTTACTTCTCCTATCAACCTATATCTAAATACTATTGATAAATCTTTTCAGTAGCTCACACCACAATAGCAGAGAACTGAATGCTGTGGAGATAGGCCACTCGGAGCACCATAGATGAATGATATGAGTTTCATATCTGCTACTATTGTAACAACAGAAGACAAGGTAAAGGCAACAGATCGTTTACTAAGGAAATCAAAGCATATTTATATATTTTCATGTAAATTATTATAGTTTAGTTAAGCACTTAAGTTAAAGCACTTAAAGTTAATCTTTCATCTCTTTGTGACTGTTTCTTGAATGTCAGATCATCTATATGTTAACTGTATCCGCCTACGCAAAGTCTGCTGTGGTCGGTTTTGAATCAATCTTTGTTCATATTTTCTAACGACAAATCTTGAGAACGTAAACATTAACGTAAATTACTGTCTACCAATTTGGCTAGTAGACAGCTCTCACCACACTATAATAGCTCGAAATCTAGAAACAACTTTCTTCAAAACTGATAACGTAGAACAATCAGCGGATTTCTGAATGCTAGTTACTTCGCCAGACGCCCCTTTTGATATAATGAAAGTTCAGTAGATATATTCAATACAAAAATTTGAAGAGAAATCATATAAAATAGCTTTCAAACACTCCATGTTCACAGTGGTTCATTAGATGATTTATACATATAAATATGTATATACCTCAGGAGAGAGAAATCTTTAGTTTGCTTTCACTTCACATTTCAGACTATTTATGTTGGACCTGGTGTATATGACTTTGAAAAGTTCTATAAAAGATCTACTGTAGTAGAATCAAAAGGACGTTTTGATACAAGCAATGAATCTAGGTGTAAACCAATCAAAGTTGGTTATATGGCTAGACTGGTAAGTTTGGTATTTTTTTTTCAAAAAAGAAGATGTTTTAAGGCAAAATTAACTGAATACATGACTGGCAGTTATTTTGATCTCATGTGATCAAGTTGGTTTGTAGAGATTTGATTGGTTTAACTTATGATCATGGATTGATGTCATTTGGAGAACCATTGGAAACTGGCAGGGGGTGTACTGGATAGCTGAAACGAAATGAAATCTTTACAAACTAACTCTTGAAAATTAACCTGACTGGCTACAGGGTAAAGATACATGAAGTTTTAGTTAGAATTCGTGACCAGTGGGGTCCAGCAGGTCCGGTGTGATGACGAATACTTACCTGTGACATTGGCTGATGCCACTCGCGTTCAAATCACAAATTGGTGAAAGTTAGGATTCATGGGCTACTGGATCGGTTTGCAGTGGCTAAATCACCAACGAGCTCACCTTGTAACCTGAAGGTCCTGAGTTAGAATCCTGGTGCGTGCGTACTGATGAAGAGACACAAATCAGGACGAAACGAATTTCCAGTGCTTTCTGGATTTTCAGTGCTTCTCTAGCTGACATCAATCCATGATTAAACTTGAACGAATTTTAGTTTATTTGTGTTTCGTGTATCGAAGTCAACCAGTATGATTGTGAAGCTTTTATTCACAACTTCAACATTATCAGTTAAAGCATATGTTTAGAATATAGATAGTCATGTTTGAATACTGAGAATAAAAAAATGCAGTCTGTGAGACTACCTGAGATATTGGCATAAAACTGTATACTGCTAATTGATTGATTAGAGTAGTTATATGATTTCAAACCGAGTAAGTTGTTGATGAACCCGGTCCAAAACGAGCGAAACGGCCGTCAAGCGGTGTTGAGATCACTTCGATTATCTGACTAGCAAGCCCTACTGGTTAATGCATGAGTGGCACACAACTACTCATCTCAGTCAATCAGTAGTATGTATGGTTTTATGCAAATATGCTTGCCTTCTTGATTACCATTCATGGTATCAAGGAGATCGCATGTTTTCACTTGAATAACTTGATTTCCAGAGGAAACTACAGTGAAACTTCATCAGTCGAACTGGGTAGCTTGCAAATTATGAATTAGATTTACCTGAGATATTCTTAGACTGACAAACTGATGATAATGATGTAATGAGTGATACTCGTAGATGAAAGGAAAATCTGCTTCTCTTGCAGAGTTTGCATCAGAAACCTCTGTCAGTTAAGCTACTAAATCTAGATGCTAAACACGTAGGCATTTCATTACAGTTATTATGGCTTATGCTAAGAGTTCGGATGAGCTCTTATTCTAAATTATATACATAAACAAATACAGGTTGCAGCTTAAATAGATACGATCTAATTGTGTTCTCAGTCATTTATCGTCACAATGGGATAACTGAGTATGTATGCTCTACAATAATGTGCAATATGCTGAAAGACTTGATATCAATGATGAAGGCTCCAGTTTATGTTAGAAAAAATGAAACTTGAATATGCGACTTTTCCTTTATAAAATTAAGTAGATAATTAAAAGACTAAATGGGATCTCCGATGATATTTATGATATTTGTGGTGGACTGGATCATACAACATATTGTGGGGAGCGAGAAAACGGTCATACATTGGACAGACAAGAAGATACTATAAGATATGAACTTCAAGGATGACTTGTATCTAATGTCACAAAAAGTTGAAGATCCATAGGCGAAAATGAATAAATTTTCAAAAGAGACGGAGAATGCAGGACTTCAGTTGAACACAGAGAAGACAGAGGTGGTGAGGGTATGCAGTAACCAACAACAAGAAGCACCAATTACTATCTGTCAACTGGAGAAATCTGAAGAGAGTTACTTCTTTCACTTATCAAGTCAGCATCACTCCAACTAAATGCAGGCGGCTCAGAGTAGGATGTCAGATGTGTCAAGGACGGGGAAAACAAGACAGATCTTCAGTAATTTGAGACCAGTGTGGAAATATACTTCAATCAGCTTGAGAAACAATATCTTGATCATCAATACTAATGTCAAATCTGTTAGTTCTTATACTTGATTCAGAGAGTCAACGCATCACTAAAAGCATTCCCAGTGGGCTGCGCACTTTCATTAACATCTGTACCCAATGCTCGATGCTGATGCTCAGATGGTCGGCCAGTAAGGACAAACAACATGAAACTTTCGCAAGTAACCAACGAAGAACCTATCGATCAATGAATATACAGAAGAAAATAGAAAAAATGGATTGAACATCCACTGAAGAGATCGTTGAGTGACATCATGCTCTAGAGTGACCCTCAAGTGAAGGCAACAAGGGGGGATGACTGACTGTGATACAGAGAAGGTCGTATAATAAGGATGATGAAAGCTTGTGTGAAATTGTGGAGCTGGATTATAAAGGACTTTAGAGAACAGTGTGAAATGGACGTGTGCTGCTGAAGTCCTGTGTTCTACTCAAAACGTAGAAGCAGAGAATCAGTCGCTCAAAAGATGATCATTGGGTACTCCTACTTTTTTCTCAGGATGTCACTAATTTGATATTAGTTTCCTGGACAACTGGATTTCAAGAAATAATTAATTATCACTGCCCGACTAAGGCTTTAAAATAGGATGTAATTAAACAAATTACATATAATCTAGAAGAAGAATTATTATTGTTGTTGTTTCCTTTAGTTCCTACAGGAAGATAGGGCTTCACCCACACGTCTACACTGCATTCGACTCTCCGTCAACGTTTTCACACCGCTCCACGGCTGCCCACATGCCTTCATCTCCTCTTTGCATCACCTCCTCCTCCATGTCACCCTCGCACTGACCAACAACTCACTGCTCCCCATTCGCCTTCCACTCGAGCGATGGCCTGGCGTGTGATGGATGTCAATTGATGCTTTTCTCAGAGTATATCCAATCCATCTCCATTTCTTCTTGCCTATTTGTTGCGCAATCGGTTCCTGGTTGGTTCGCTCATTGCCCGAGATGTCTGTTACTGATCTTTTCTGGCCATCTAATCTTGAGTATTGAGCGAAGACAATTGTTGATGAAGGTCTGTAGTTTGATTGAGATGCTCTTTATGACGCGCTGGCCAAGTTTCTGATCCGTATAGTGAGTAGCACTGACTTCACATTGGAGTTAAAAATCTGGATCTTATTTTTGATACTGAGTGCTGTTGTCCTCCACACAGACTTGAGAGTAGTGAAACCTTGTCTTGCTTTTCCGAATCTTACTTTGATATCCTCGTCAATTCCGTCTGTAGTTGAAACAATGCTTCAGGTAGGTAAAGGAGGTTATTTCTTTCAGGTTCCTGCCATTTATGCTGATTGTTGTTTGTTGTTGTTGCTGTTGGTGGTGTTGCCCAGGAATCTTCATCACCTCTGTTTTCTCTATGTTCACCTGAAGTCCTATCTTCTCTGGATGCTTCTTCTGCCAACTTGTTGCTTTTCGCTTGCATATCTTCCAGTTTGTGGGAAATCAGACATATATCATCAGCGAAGTCCAGATCCTCCAAGTTTTTTGTATGAGTCCATTTGTCTTACTCTCGTCTTCACTTCGAAGGATTCCGTAAGTTTCCCGTTGTGGATTACTTGGCATGCAGCATTGTCGTACAGCTGTTGGATGAGATGTATAATTGTCGGTGGCATCACTTTTAACCTAATCTCCTTTTCTGCATCTAATATCGTTTTTTCTACAGATTAGACAAATATTCACATCAATTATAATGAAGGTTGTTTTTGTATTTACCAATGAATGAAAAACAAAACGATATTGTTTTGGGAAATACAAAAACAACCTTTATTACATAATGAATATCATATACCGAATGCCCAAATTTTTTCAAACCGTTAAAAGTGAACTTGGTTTGGACATATATATAGATATTCACATCATTTGTATTTGATTAACCTCTCAACATTGAATTACTTTTCTAATAATAACTAAAGAATTGTTTACACAAATATTTTTCATCCATCTTTCAAATATAAACTAAACTTTTAGGGGGGGGGGACCTTAAATAAATGCATTTTTTTGAAGTACTCATTTTTTTTGAGTAAAAACAACAAATTATTTAAAAAAAATATCCTGTCGAGAATTTCTGTGTTTCCTGTTAATTATTAAAAACAAACACCATACACATCACAGGTACATACACAAAATGGGCCAAGGCTTACAGATGCCAAGTCAAGTATTGATGACCTGTTATCACCAAAACACGGAAATAGGGGGAAATTTTCTGAAACTGAACGTAAAACACTTCAAGTGACACATCAAGTAAGCATTTATACTTTTTTTTATTGAAAAATATTTTGTTACATTCTATCGATTTTGTGAGAATATGACTGATTTTATGATGTGAGTTTGTCACAATTCGAAATCAGGTAGAGAACAACTTGAAACAAAAGACCATTGTACAGTTATTATTTCTTTAACTAAGGAATTTAGAAAGTGTACAGTTCATATCTTGTCAACTGTAGATCCTATGAACGTTATTTTTGGTGGAAACAATGTTACTGTTTTGAGAGAGAGAGTGTAACGTAATCTAGTGCTATATGTAACCAGCATGCCACTCATGTGTTGTGGTATGAATTCAGGAAACCGATCTTTGCGTTCTACTGTATGACTGAGCAGAACTTCTTTGAGTTACTTACAGTCACAAAATGCCCTAACGACATACGATATGGTACAAGCTTCTCAGAAAAGGCTTTGGATGCATGTCGACGTGCTCAGATTACTGATTTATGCTATACGTTTTTTAGCAGAACACACAGATTCAACTGGAAGGCTATATTTCAAGTTTAGAAGATACAAATAACTAAATCGATTATTGAAACAGGCTTTATTTGTGGGGAAGCGAAGGAAATAGAATTCTTGCATGAGATGAATCGGATTAGTTAAAGTTCTTGAATAGGCATTTCAGAGAAAGTGGAAAACAATCTTCTGTTCTTCTCATTTTCACTGATTTTAGGAATCTCGTGGTGTCTTGAATGATCTCAAAGTATTATTTAATTTCATATTAGTTTGT